GATGGTATCTGTGACAGACTATAGACAGATATATCGAGTACTTTCCAAGATATTATTTGTTTTAAATGACTGAAAATGACGTCATGTGATTTTATTCCGAACTAATGTTTCTTAATTACCGTAATTTTCGGACTATTGAGCGCACCTGAATACAAGCTGCACCCACTAACTTTAAGAAGAAAGATTTTAATTAAATACGTAGCGGTAACGTACACAAATGCCGTCAATGCTTTTTTCCGAACAGTGCCTGTAACACAACTGGTTAAAAGAATAAAAACTACAGCATCCTACCAGGAAAAGTCATTGATCGCTATCTTCATCTTCCTCCTCAGTGTCGGACTTGAACAGCCTCAGAATCACTTCGTCACACACTTCCTCAGTCTCTCTTTTGTCGTTGCTCTCAATGTCACTTTGGTATCGAGGCAAATTCGTAAAACTCATAAAAATCCATAAATTAGCCGCTTCATTGTTTAAGCCGCAGTGTTCAAAGTGTGTAAAAAAAGTAGCAGCTTATAGTCCAGACATTACGGTAATGCATTGAAACCCATTTTGAAACTCTAAAACTCTATCAGTTTTTGTGCCACAACTTGTAACAGCTGCTCAATCAGTTCTAAAAGTTCAACGAAAATAACTTTCTTTGTACTTTAATGATCAAGTATTTGACGAAATTAATCCATACATTTTGTTTTGTTTTACTGTGACAGAAAACATCACCTGTTGGCTTCTCTTTTGTCAGTTTTTCCCGTTAAATTGGGATTTTTTTTTTCTTATTTCACACATTATTTCATCTGCTTGTCCAGTATTGCAGGTTTTTATTGTTAATAGTTCCTGAGATGCTGTCGTTCAAACAGCCTGAGGTTTCATTGTGAGAACCAACGTGCTGTGTCTGTATAAATGATAAATAAATAGAATATAATAAATAATAAAGAGCAACTGCAGTCAAATCAGAGATGTTTGAGCCGAAACTGTTCTAAAAATGTGACGATTTGAAATCGCCTCTCATATTACATCTGGTTACTTTGCAGCAGGTCTGTGAATCTGGAAAGTCCAAAATTTTTAAAATGAAAGTTTAACACGAGTGGCCGAACACGAAGGTCAGGTCCATTCAGAGCAGCGAAATCTGAAA